ATCTACTCTCCGATGTCACTTTCGAGTGATGACGATGAGACGGAAGAACGCATAGTGAGACTAGCGGATGATGTGAGCACCGATGACGCCACAGCAGTTGCAGTTACAACCGAGTCAGAATATGCAATCTACTCAAGCTGTGCAAGGTATTCAACCCAGCCAGAACATGCAACTTGCTCAAGTTGTACAAACTACTCAAGCTGTGCAAGGTGTATAACCCAGCCAGAGTGTGTCACCTGCCCAAACTATGCAAGCTATGCAACCTACGCAGCTAGTGCAACGTATGGTAAGTACTCAACGTGAAGTTGGAGTACCAAATGGATGGCAGACACCAGTTACGGGCGCTGTGCAGCTCCAGTGGGAGGGTGGACCTGTGCAAAGACCACCTCCTACGTGGGATACACTATTCTACTCCTTGGGCCAAGGACTTTCGAGTGAAACGCAGAGACCTATGTTTGAGCCAGGCCATAGATGTGGACCACAAGTGGGTTCATTTGTGTCAGGGGATAACTACCAAGATCGCTACGTTGAGCCACGAGGATATCAAGGACCTAAAGGACAACTGTACGACGGAGGATCGTATGGTGGATGGAAAGGACCTAACAGATCTTTTGGTGGAGGACTGTACGGAGGAGAGTGAGCAGGACTAAGAGCAGGACGTACCAATCATCCTGTAGACTATGGCGTGGCTACACATCTCCCTTTGGAGGAGGAATTTGGAGACTGCCATCTCGGGAGAGTGTTGGACCCCCAAGGTCGCCAATACGTAGCTACTCACCAATAAGAGATCCACCTGGGCCTCGTTGCGAAGGACGTTCGCCAGATCGTGGACGCTCGCCATCTCGTGGACGCTCGCCATCTCGTGGATATGCTAGACCTTCATGGTCGCCACCTAGAGGACGTGATGGACCACGTTACTCGCCACCAAGAGGACGATCGCTACTGCGTGGCCATCAGAGTCGAGGAAGATCGCCTCCTCGTGGACATTAAAGACGTGATGGACCAGCGCAACTCAGACGCGGAGGACACAGCCGGTCGCCACGTCGGAATCAGACGAGTCACTATGGACCTCAACTTCAAGAAGGACGCCGAGGTGATAGAGATGCCCGAAGCAATGAGACCGGTCCCAGTGGTGGACTGACTCAGAGTGCTGCTTAGGGTACTGAGACTGGCCAAGGGCAAGACACTGCGAACCAAGGTCAGACGTTTTCGGTGAATGCAGTTGGACGTGGTGAGAACATGCAACCTGTTGAGGGAAACTTCACGGAGTGGATTATTCACTCGGGATTACATGCCAACATTTGTGGCAATCTATCTCTGTTCACGACACTGCGCGAAGACAAGACAAGCCGGTTGGACTTCGCTAAAGGTACTACGGAGCATACGACTATTAGTGTCTCTGTCCTACTGCGTGTTGTCAATCAGGCAACTGGGGAGCTCGAGGATCGTCTGCTGAACGATGTAGTCTACACACCGAATGTCAAGGTCAACTTTATTAAAGTGGAATACCTGCAGACAAGAGGCAACTACAGGCTATTGTATTCCATGGACCAGAAGACGTCGTGAATGTCTAAATCGGGCACTATCTTAAAGTTTGAGATGCGAGACAACCTCTACCGGCTGCGAAGCGAAAAGGCAACCCACGTGATGGTCATGGCTATGGCTAATCAAGCTGTAGAAGACAAGAAGACTATGGAGCTGTTGCATCAGCGTTTTGGTCATCTGCACATGGCTTTGCTCCAGGTGGTGGCAGATAAGATGGATTTGGAGGTAAAACTCAACACGAAAGATCTGAACGCCTACGAATGAATTGCCTGTGTTGTGAGCAAGGCCAAGTCAATAAGCCACAAACGTATTCCCGTCCGCTCGACTAAATCACACGAGAAGCTATGGCTATGGACATATGTACGATGAGTGTGGAGACGGCAAGCAAAGCTACTATATTCATGTTCATTGTGGATGTTGCTACGAGATACAAGTGGGTCTATCTACTCGAGAATAGGAGGCAAGCTACCTGGTTCATTCTGAAGCTGCTAAAAGAGCTGCGGACGCATCACAAAGACTACAAAGTGTTGCATCTTCGGTCGGACCAAGGTGGTGAATTTGCTGGAACGGAACTGCATGAGTACTGCGTTGAACACGGCATTGTACTGCAGTTCACGAACGCGTATTCCCCCCAAGAGAATGGGATCGCTGATAGGGCGAACGGCATTGTGCTGCCTCGTGTGCGAGCGCTGCAGACAGCAACACATCTACCGAACATGCTGTAGGGTGAAGCCCTGCTGCACATGGTGATTACACTAAACATTTTATCGACCAAGATGCTGGGAATGACTTCGTCGCACGAGAAGCTGTATGTACGGAAGCCGCCCCTGAGCTTTCTGCGAACCTGGGGTTGCATTGCGCATGTGCGAGTACCACCTGAGTCAAGACGAAGAAAGGAGAAGCTTGAATCACGGGCACAAATGTGTATATTGCTCGGTTACAGCGACTCTACGAAGGGCTACAAGTTTCTAGACCTATTGACCTGTCAGGTGAAGCCTGCGCAGAGCGAGAATTGCCGCTTTCAGGAGGAGTTCACAGTGAATGGAACCTACGCGAAGCAACTACTGCAGAACGCGTACCTGGACACGCTGCACGTGTTACGGGAGAAGCCACTAGTGGGAAGAAATCTAGACGAGCATAAATACCTACGCTTTAGAGAATAGCGGCCCTGTGTCAATGAGCAAGATAGGCGAACTTCTAGAAGTTGAATGGACTATGGACGAGGAACAGAAGTCCAGTGGAAGTGCAGAGCTTGAGGACTCGTCGAGCGTCGAACAGCAGGATGTGGAGAAGCTGCTGACCCTCAGGTTGCACCTGAGAAGGGACCGGAGCCGGTGAAGGCGAAAAAGAGACGCAATCGCAAGGCGCGAAAGAAACGCGTGAAGGAAGATACTGGATTCGAAATTCAGGAGCCTCCAGTCGAGCCATGTCTGAAGCTACCGAGAAGAACACAGATGGCAAACGTACGAACGAGCGATAACTTAGTGGGCCAAGTGATGACGCATGGCATTGACGTGGATATTTCTACAAGCAGGCACGGAAATGTAAGTACTGGCCCCAGTGGCGGGCCGCGATGTTGGCAGAACTGGCGTCGTTGAAGAAGCACAAGACCTGGCAATTGTACCGCGGAGAAAGGCGAAAGATATCAATGTGACTACATGTCGATGGGTTTTCGCGGTGAAACGAGATGAGCGTGGTCGTGTCAAGCGATTTAAAGCTTGCCTCGTCATCCAATGAATTCAAGCAACAGCTCGGCGTCAACTACAGCGAAACATATGCACCTGTGATTTGCTTTGAGACTGTTCGTGCGGCCATCGACTTCGCTTTGCAGCGAGGATGGGAGATACTCCTGTACGACGTGAAGACGGCGTTTTCTGTACGGAGACCTCGACGAGATGATATACATGGATCAGCCGCCTGGGTTCCAAGTCGATGGACCAAGCACTGTATGCGAGCTCTTGAAGAAACGCTATGGATTAAACCAATGTTTGAAGCCGGACTTTACATGCGAAGTTGGTTACACTAGGCTTTGAGTGTACAGACTCAGACTATGGGCTGTATGCGTTGAAGGAAGAGGGCGAAGTCAAGCTGTTATTGTCTATGTGGATGACCTACTGCTAATGGGACCCCGAGACTTGTGCGCCAAGATTGCAGCTGCACTGCAAGAAACCTTCGAATTGACTACAATGGGTACTGTCAAGTACTTGCTTGGTGTAGAGACCCTGATCAGCAGACCAAGCAGACAGATTGTCTACTGTCAGAAGCAATACGTGCTGGAAGTACTCACATGTCAGATTGCAACGGATGTGCTACTCCTGAGGCTACTGTACTATCTAACCCTACTGTACCTGCGACGAAGGGCTATATGCCGTACCGGGAGCTGGTGGGTGCCCTTCAGTACCTGGTGAGCGCTTCGAGGCCTGACATTGCGCATGCAACGAGACATCTTAGCAAGTTCCTGGCGTCTTACGACGACACACTCTGCGCGCATGCTAAGAGGGTACTTCGGTATCTAAGGCTACGTGTGATTACGGTTTGATGATGGACGTACCTGAGGGAGCCACTGCAAATATACGATGCTACTCAGACGCCGACTATGCGAATCTTTCAGTGGACAGAAGAATAATCGGCGGCTATGTGAACACGCTTGACTGAAACGTGATATCGTACGCATTAATAAAGCAGAAGATTGATTCCTTGAATACGTGCGAAGCGGAGTATGTTGCGATGGCTGAAGCCATCAAGGACGTGTTGTGGCTTGCGGGTCTGTGTAAAGAACTGGTCTGGAAGCATCCAGTGCCATTGCTGTTGGGTGTCAACGAGGTATTAATCTCGCTGACCAACAAGCCTGGACAGCACATCAAGTCTAAACACATAGACAACAAGTATCATGTGCTGAGACGAAACGTGGAGCTTAAGTTGCTCACAACGCAGCACATTGGGACCGAGCAGACGATCGCGGACATATGACCAAGCCAATTGCGGTGGTGAAGCTCACTCGCTTTCGTCAAGCGATGAAGGTGCTGCCAGTGGTTGCCTCGGACGGTACTACTACTTCTACGGAGTCTGTGGCTTGTTCTATGGCTGCTATTGCTGTGACAGCTGCGAAGACTGCGTCTCCCGCTACGACTGTTTTTGCTGCAGTGCGAAAGGACTAGCCAGAGACGGAACTCTGTCAGACTGTAAATGACTAGGACGAATGCGAAAAGACTAAGCGATTGCGATGGACAAGCGTGACAGCTACGGTGTGTTTTAGTGCGATGGTGTGATGGGAAGGCCAAGCAGGTTGCATCTGTCTTGCGTAGTTCTACTACGATACTACACGTGCTGCACCTGTGTTGACAACGGACGCTACGACTACGGATGCAAAGGCTACTGCGATGGATGAGGACGATGTTGACTGTGGGGTGCTGTTTGGTGTACGGACTACTGTGCTGCTGGACTACGACTTCAACCTATGGGGCAGCGACTTCAACCTGTAAAATCTTGTGTGTGATCGCGTCAATCAAGGCGCTGTATTGCCGAGATCAAGTAGGAGTGGGAGATGCCAGTCCCTGTGTGAAGTGGCCAGCCCCAGCTGTACATACAAAGTGGACTATCAGTGCCTGGCATTGACACTGACAGCCGACCCTGCATCCTATCCTACGCCTACGGCTGCAGTCTGCGGCTGGACAAGAGCGACCGTGCCGTCGTGCTGCTCACGACGACACTGACCTAGGTAAAGTATGCTCTGTATTGGGTTTATATATAGAATAGAACTTTGCGGAGAGGCGTACTGGCTTGCGTGAGGCTTGCTCTCTCTCTACCACACAACTCAATTTGCGGCTCAGCGAATCCAAGAGGAGATCAAGCCCACACCAGTACTGCAGCCCTGTCGTGACCTTTTGCCCTGCACTCACTGTGTTTACGTACCTCTTTTGATTGCTCTGTTAGCTAGTGCTTCTTAAGTCTAAGTCTGTTTTAATGGCACCTCCTCTAAGAAGCGACCAACGCTTGGAGAGCAGTCCAGTGACGCGCCCTGCGTCACCTCAGTCTTGACTGTACATGACCCAATAAATATATTTATTGCCAATTACTGTTAATTGTTTCTCTCAATAATTTATTTACGAAAAATGCTTCAGCAAAATATGTTTTATTTTACGAAGTTGGTGTACGAAGACCAAAAATTATCTTCCCGGACAACGACAACCAACAGTTTGTCGTTGGTTTGGAGCCCCTCGACTTCTCCGAAACGCATATTCTAGCTCATTCTGCAACTTCCCAGGAGCACCCCAACAAAATCTACTATCTTCTTTCATCACCGTGGATGCTTGCATTTAGGCGGCTTCACCTAGGCTAGGTAGTTTATTTCACTAATAATCTACGTTTGCAATGTCCCCGCTCCAATTATCTATTTGCTGAGTTCTTAGGTTGCCGTGCGTTATTTATTTCTCGATGTTCATTGAAATTGATATAAATTATATTTTCGGGTTCCCTGCAACCAACCCCACTGAAAGACCAGACCATCGGATACTAGTATCTTCTAAGTCGGTACTCAACGCGAACATTCCCCGCACGCACAACAACCAGTCAAGTGCGTCGTCCTGATCACTCGTTCCTGCCGATCAGGAGTTATCCGTTCACGCGGACTTATGGACAGTTGAATTATCTCGTGCGGTGGAACGGCGTGAAGCGGGTGATTCGCCTTGAAGACCTCGCTCGGATCGAGGCTTCTGAACGCCAACATAGTCGATGCGTCTTCCTCCTCGCTGACTTGGACCAAGATGAGTGACACTTGGTCGACACAGAAGATTGGAATAACGAGATAAGCTTCTTCGGACTTGTGAGGCAGAATACCTGAAGCTCTGCGATCCAACATTTTCCACAATACAGTATCGGTCGGTGGTTCTGGTAAAGTCACAAATTGACTGAAGCTAATCTTCCAATATTTCCAACGCTGTAGCCATTTTCCATACACGCTGCGCTCTCCGGAATGTAGCGTCACTTTAGCTACTTGCAGCGTCGGATTGTCACCCATTAGCATGGTCACAAAACTTGGTACATCGCAAAATTGTCCCGCAAAGTCGAACTCACTTCTGGTCCATGGGTTCGTCCTCACTTGAACGCCCATCGTCGCTGTGTCCATAACTAGTAGAAGGGAGATCCGAGCTACAATATGACAGATGTTGCATGCGTCAACCACGCCGTTAGCCAGCATCGTCTGGAGCTGCGGAAGAATGCGTGTCTATCGCCGGCGGCTCCAACTGGTACCAAACGCGAGAAGCGCCAAATGCCAGGACCGGGTCCGACGCATAGCTAGAAATGGGAAAGTTATTCTTGTACATCTCGTAGTGAAGTACACTCATAAAGTCGGTCACTAGACGCGTCGTCAGTGGGTCACAGTTACGCAGATGCAGGCCCACGCGACAGAACAATGACGCCACACCGTTCAGCGTGCTGTCGCTGTAGCTCTCGGGGAGTCTCGCCTTTCGTCCTCGCAGTAGCATCAAGGCAGCAAAAAGATTCATCGCTCTCTGTCTATCGGCCAAATTGCCTCCTCTCTGTCTACTCCGCCAAAGTGGTCGACCCATTGACACAAGCGCTCTCCACACTTGGTCTGCGTCAACAGTCAAGACGCGATGCTTGCTCGTTGTGGGCGACGTTGAGCTCTCAAGCATGACATCCATTGTCTGTGTAAGAATAAATGATGGGAACGACACCGTAGCTTCACCATATGATGGATCGGGCGACAAGGTATCCGCACGGATATCGGATTTTCCGGGTGGCAAGTCACCTCTCCCAGAAATCAGAAGACGCGATCGACAATGAGAACCAACACGGAAGAAGTAGTTAGTCGTAGGTAACGTACCGCTCACTTGCAAATTTGCTCGCTCGCGCGCTGATAATGAGCACGTCCACGATAACGAAGGGGTCTCTGGCGTTCCTGGGGCCCTTGCACGCGGCATCTATGAGTGTGCTTCAATATGTGCGGGTAGACCGTGTCGACGGCGCTCAAGTGCACGTCAACATCGTGGATCCTGGTGGGCCGTCTGACGGAGAGTCGCTAGAACCTATTGATCTGGATGTGGTGAAGAAGCGAAGGGTCAGCGATGACGAGGGAAAGCTGCTGTCGGGCTCCTACGTAGGCAATCCTGTCGCATTCATCCAGCCGGACGGCATTGAGATGGACACATGGGCTTATTCGATAGTCGTGGGGTACCACATGAATACAGACGCAGTCCTTCATCTTCGCTACGTTGCTGGCGCGCGCAAGTTGGCACTGCAACAGCCCGCTAACGTCGTAAAGGTCGAGTGGATTGACTATGCCCTTAAGTAGAAGGCGGTTCCAGCTCGGCAGCGATGAACGCGGCGGAATTACCTCCAAAACTGGAAGAGGTTCGAGCATTGTGTACGAAGAGCCGCGTGGGCCTACCTGCAAAGGTCTTGAACGGTTTAACGGTGCAGTACGAGCCCGAGGCGATAGCACCCGTGATTCGGCCAGACACGCTCGCCGTAATATCCGCTCCGAGGCGCCACATACTTGAGTGTGCGCTTAAAAGGAGAAATAAACGCGTCGCGAGTATGTTCGTACATCCTGGGGACGTCGCTCCTACCAATGGAACAAAACGGCAAGCTGCTACCGGGGAGTCCGTCCATGAAAGCCGACGACCTCTGAGACGCCAATGCATGGTTGGGTTAGAAGGCAGTGACTCGGATGCAGAGCCGGCAATGATGCAGACACCTGATGAGGAGGATGACCAGGATAAGCGGGAAGTGCAACGCCAAAATCACATATTGAACGCCATCGGAGGAGGACCAATAGGTCATGCAGAGCTCGGCACATATGCAGTCGACGAGATGCGCTCGAACACGACAACGACATTTCGCCCAACGACGATTGAGAAGGACATCCACGACAAAATTGGCCACCCAGATCATCAAGGTAAGGATTCACAGCGCATTCTTGAATACGAACAGCAGGCCCGTGGTGCCGAACTGCGGCTGTGGACGCCACCAGTTCTTCGAGGCGCATATGATTTTGGGTTTCGCATTCGGGGACTGTCGATAATGCACTTTTTAGGACCTTCTCGGTCGGCTTTGATGAACGGCGAAGTGCCGTCAGTAAGCATGACGGACTTCTCTTGAAAGAATTGTATCCAGCCGGCTACGAAGAACCCATCTTACGAGAACCTAAAGGAAGCATTGAGAAACCTTCGCCAGTTTGGCGGCGGCTTTTACAACGAGAGTACAGTGGACTTCATTCGCGCGATTGAGCGCTTCGTAGAGATCTTTGGTAATACTGGTGTGCCTGACGGCGGTGCAACAAAATGCCTGGTATTCTGGATTGACGCAAAGTTGTGTCAATTTCGAGGATTGGTATTGGACGAAGGCCTGATCTCGGCGATGCGAATAAAGGACGAGCTGTCGCTCCATTACCCCCTACTAGCCGAGCTCCTGTACGATGAGCAGAAGACGATGATAGCCACGCTCAAGGCGCAACTGGAGGTTAAGCCTACGAGCAACGCGCAGCCTTACTCAGGCAGTCGGGAAATGCGTCAAGCGAGACAAGAGGGATACCGAAAGATGTAGTGCGGCTCATGCCAAAGCAAGGAGCCTTGAACCTCTGCATGAAGTATTTGTCCAAGGAAGGATGTTCAGGAAGCTCTGACGGGACATCAGGCAAGTGTTTCTCCACTAAGCGGGCTCATTTCCGACCTAAGACGCTGCCTGAACCTGTGAAGCAGCACATTATCAAGAATTTCGGAGGTTTGGCGCCCGAGTCCGCGGATCTGTGAAGTGAAGGGGCCCCAGCTCCACAGTCAAGTATTGGTTCCAGTTTGGGTCCTCCATCGACAGAGACAGTAGGTGGTAGAGGATCTGAAGAGAAGTCTCCGTCAAAGGACTTACGAAAGCACCTTTCAGAGAATCACAAGAAATATATGGAGACTTTAAAACGAGTTAATGACCAATGTCGAGCTGAAACCGAGCACAATATCACTGCAGTGGCTGCCAAAGTGGGAGTTCCAAGTCCACCACAGTGGGATATCGATAACACCGTAGATATGGACAAGGTTGAGCTCCTAACGCAACTGGCACTCGCGGCGGAAATGACACTCCCTGACTTTGTATGGCTTGTTCGAGGACAGACCGACGCCGACCCGAGGCCGAACAAGAGCTTGTTTCAGTTAGACCAACCACCGAATTCCAGTTTAGTCGATACGTTTCGACGCTGGAACGACGTGGTGAGGCAAGGAATTGTTCCTGAGTGGCTGTCGCACCGACCGGCTCGACAAAAGGGCCGGCCAAACAATCACAACTCAACTTACGACCATCTTCCGCAAGTCTGGCGTCATCTGCGTAAAGGACAAAGAGATGGCAGGTATCTGATAGTGAAGGAGACGCTTCCGAAGCAGTGGCAGGAAGTCTTCGTATCGCCTGTGGGAGTAGTTGATAAAACAGGAGCGGATGGCCCGGATATTCGCATCATCGACGACTACTCCTTTCCAGACGGAGGTTCAGTCAATGACTTCACGGATCGTGCCAACCTTCCAGACGTCAGCTATAATCCGCCTCGGGATATCGCGATGAGGATACATGTCTTGAAGTCGAGCTTCCCGAACGCACGGATCCTGTTGATGCTCGGTGATGTTACAGGGGCCTTTAGGCACGTGCCTAACCATGCCGATCACGTGCATATGTTTGCATGTGTGATCGATGGTCTCCTTATCATCGACTTGTCATGCGGGTTTGGCTGGTGTGGATCCCCGGCTTCATACTTCCTTCCCGGCGCGCTAATTAACGGGTTGTATGAGTGTGGACTTCCTCAAGTACGCCTTGAGACACCACTAGTGGGATCATTCTGGTGCGATGACCATACTTGCGCAGAGGTAGACGTAAGACTACGCTGTTTTGTGGCCAATCTAGCTCTACGAAGAGCTATGGCTACAGTACTAGGACCCGCAGCCAACAATGAACGCAAATTCACGACATGGAGTGAGCGATGCAGAGCGTTGGGCCTCGAGTGGGATACCAGCACAGGCGAAGTCACCATCCCAGTAGCGAAGATCGAAAAGGCCCAACTGATTGTCTCTGGCGTCATACGTGCTGGTACCGCCTCAAAAACAACACTATTTAAACTGTTGGGCTGCCTGCGCCACGTCATGACGTGCTGTCCGCCTGTTTTTCCAGCGATTACAAGCCACGACAACGCCGCTCCGACGTCACGCAGTCCGCAAGATCGACGATGCCGCTCTCGAAGACTTAAAATGGATCCGAGCTATCCTTTCTCAGCACGAGCTATTCAATGGCATTCCTGTCGGTCAATTCGCCAACGTGGCGAATCCCATAGTGCACGTGCACATGGATGCCTCAATTGACGGTCTACGCGCCCTTGAACCGACACTACACCAGTTTATTCGCGTACAGTTCACCGCTGAAGAGCAGGCAGCATTTCACAGACGACGTCTCTGTGAATTCTATTAACGTTCGCGAGCTCCAAAGTGCGGTGCTGGCGGTGCTACATTGGGGCCCAACGTGGGTTCGAATGTATCCACACAAACCGATCCACGTACGCTGCTGGATCGACAACACAAGTGCAGTGTCGTGGACGCAGCGGCGCAATAGCCGACAGCCTCTCGCTCAGCTATACAACCGGCTACTGTCACTGGCGGAGTTCCAGTATGCCATCCTGTGCACGGCCAAGCACGTGGCAGGCGAGGAGAACACCATGGCAGACGCCGGATCACGAGCCTGGCGTTCGGACCACCCTTTGTTCGAGATGTGGACTAACATGTCGTGTGCATGGAGACAGGTGCAAGTTCGTCCGCCCTTCGATGATCTCTCGAAGCTATGGGCGCAGTGCTCCAGGGACGCGCTATCACAAAGCTTACCTCAGCCAAATACCGGACTCACTGGAACCAGTGGTGCCGATTTTCTGGATGGATGAGATGGTCTCCGTGGCTCGACGAAGAGCCCACACAAGCGAGTTCAAGACTCGGCCTATTCGCTATATACTGCTGGAGATACGGCTGGAATGATTGCCACCGAGGGAATAAGTATATGACGATTCAGATTAAACTATCGAGTGTTCGCTGGTATCAGCAGCGATTCCGGGATTTTCGAGTGGAGTCGTCTCCTTCACTAGTCATCTTAATGCGAGGAATCAAGCGCTTGTCCGACCCGACTCTGAAGAAGCAGCCTATTAGCCCGGCATTCTTGCGTCTGCTGCACCGGCGCCTCGACTTATCTAGGCCCCGGACTCGACATTTGTGGGGCTCCGTTCTGCTGGCTTACTTCTTTCTCCTAAGAAGATCGGAATTTCTACGAATGGGAACGCAACGGAGATCATATTGCCTAAAAGCATCGGATGCATTCTTTTCAAATGAAAATGGAGTGAGAACCCCATATCGTATGGCAGTGTCAGTGACCATCGGACTGTCAGGCGCATAGAATGATCAGTACGGCAGAGGTGCGTGAGGAACAATGCTCGCAGCCGGGGACGGATGGCTGTGCCCAAAAGTGGCGCTAAGACACATACGACAAGCGAGAAGTGAACTCGGACGAGAGGATGCCCTGCATTTATGTGTAGATCTGGATGCAGAGGAAGTGACAAGGACATTCAAAAAGCTAGCGGCGTCTATTGGGATTCGTGAAGAGAACTACTCTACCCATTCCATTCGGATTGGCGGCGCAACGTCTCTGTTGAATGGAGACGCTGACAGCTTGGCTATCAAGTTGCTTGGTCGATGGTCGAGTAGCTGCTTCGAGGACTACCCAGTACAAACGGCGCAGTCAGCAAAGGAGTTATCACGCAAGATGATCTGAAGCCAAGCCCGTGGTCGTGCTAAGCATTGTTCTTGGGGCCACTCACCACGCCCCCAGACTTGGCTGGCGGTGGTTCAACACGATTGAGTTGCTCCATTACGGTTTCTTGCATTACGGAAAGACAAGGTATCCGCACGGATATCGGATTTTCCGGGTGGCAAGTCACCTCTCCCAGAAATCAGAAGACGCGATCGACAATGAGATCCAACACGGAAGAAGTAGTTAGTCGTAGGTAACGTGCCGCTCACTTGCAAATTTGCTCGCTCGCGCGCTGATAACCCTCCCACCACGCCCCCAGACTTGGCTGGCGGTGGTTCAACACGATTGAGTTGCCCCATTAAGGTTTCTTGCATCACGGAAACTTGGAGTTTGGGGGTCTGAGGCCACGAGCACTACGAAGACTACTCTGTTAGCGGCTCTCACTGTTTCAGAGCTGTTTACCCGTTTCAAAGCTTGACACAACATCTGAAGCGCGCCGATACCAGTAGAGTTCTTGACGTCGAGAAGACACTGCGTCTCGCCGATGGCCGCCACGAGCGCCGGCGTGGATCAGACTTCCGTACCTTTTTCGTCACCTGATAACGTGTTGCTACATCAAGGCTAATACTATTTAACTTTTCAATGATAGCATCATCATCTGCGTGATCACTGTTCTCGCTGCCAAATAGAACTGTCCAGTGCCTCCCGGCGTCGGGATGCTCCATCGCATATTTAAAAGCTTTCAGAAGTGAAGTGGCAACTCCAGTCTCCGAAACAATCGCACAAAGCTTCTGTCGGGCGTGGGTACCCTTTAAACTCCTTAGCACTACGTGGACAGACGTACAAAACTGCTGCATCAAATTGATTGCCTGCATCCTTGAGACAGTTGCCTCCTGACGTGCTCTCTGCTAGTCGCTGCAGAATTCGACTCTTGCCAAACCCTGAGCTCTGCTTGATAGTAATGCACGGGGCCGTGTACTCGCTGGTGTGGGCGAGATACGCAGAGCAATACGCAGCAACATAGTTCCTAAAATCCACGTCCGCTGTACCCACGTACGTTGTTCTGAATTCCTTGGCGGCGTAAATGTACTGCAAGTCCATAGAGCTGGCCTCGACCTGTCGCATTTGCTTCAACGCAGCCATGACGGCTGCAATGGCCACGCTGAGATCACGTTTACTGATGTCGTATTCGAAATAGGCTACGTATATGGCAGCGATAAGTTGGCGCGTCATCGCATCTTGATTTGTCTCGTTCCAGATGAGCTTTTCGTCCAGGTCCAGCTCACATCTGCACACGTTAGCACCCGCCGTCGTGCTTCGCAGGGCCTCGAATGTGATAGCTGATAGCTGCGCCAACATTGAGTCGTTCTTCCCCGTCTACAGGTAGTAATTATTGTCTTTGGATTGAAATTAAATTTAATTCAAATATTACTTTACTTATATTTTAAATATTTCTAAAGAAAGTTTAGAAATGGAAGCGTACTGATATTTTGTTTTAATACTTTACACGTTAATAATACATGGGCGAGCAAGATAAGTTGTTCGTGGGGCTGGTCCTCTGCTCGACGGGACTGGAGCTGGACGTCAAGGTATCTGTTCCCTCCTCCACTGACTGCTCTACGTGTCTCACGATACCTGCTACGCCTCAAACTGTCGCCATATCTCCAGGAACAAGTGCGCAAGATCGTCGTGGCCTGTGGCGGTCGCTTTGAGGACGATTTAGACCCGACCAGCACCACACACTTGATTGCCGAGGCCGTGGGCTCTTTAAAACACCGCGTACGGCTTCAAAAACCCTAAAAAAAAGGCCTTACATAGCTAAATATCACTGAGAAATGTCATATTTGTAGGCTGCAGTAGCTCACGAACTCCCAGTCGCGTCTCCTCGCTGGGTTTTTGAGAGTTTCCGGGCCCAAAAACTACTAAACATCAATGAATTCGCTCTCCGACTACTAGAAGGGATGGGGATCTGCACTGCCGGCCTGTCAATGGAGGAGAAGGAGGCGGTGGCGCAGCAGGCCACAGCCCATGGAGCGCAATACGACGGTAGATTAGAGCTGGGTTTTACTAGTATTCTCATCGCCAAACGCCCTCAAGGAGCCAAGTACGAGGCCGCAGTAGCCAATGACATTCCAGTAGTCCATCTGGGATGGCTCTACGCCTGTATAGAGAGAGACATAGTCGTAGAGGAAGAAGAGTTCGCTCTACATTCTCAAGCAGAGACCACGAGTGTAGAGCCCACACACATCGCCGTGAACCACCTTAAAGACGCTCAAGAATTAGTGGCTACATTACCAGAGATCATCACGAGATATCGTCACAAAGAGGAGCTACAAGAAGACCAAGATTGGGTGGAATTATTCGACGGATGTGTGTTATATCTACTGGGGTTCTCACCTCAAATGAATACTTTGTTACAGCGACTGATACGCGCCGGCATGGGCACAATCTACCACAACGTGGTGCTACGTCACGTGACGCACGTTGTGGTGAGTGCGTCACTGTCGGATAAACTGACACTGCCGGCCATCCGAACGCGGGTGGCCGCCGGCACTCAAGTGCACTTTGTATCCGCTAGCTGGCTGCTTGACTGTGTCAAGTGTCTAGCTCTCCAGCCAGAGGAGCTTTACCCGGTCGAATTCGACGCTAACGTGCCGGAAACAGCACTTTCCGGCACTGCTAGTGGCCGGAAAAGTGTCGAGCCGGCAGACCCGACCTCCGAGTCCGTGATTCTGTCCGAAGATCTACCGGAAAAGGCCGACGCAGACAGCATTCTAGAGCAGAAGAGCACAGCCATTTTCTCGGGGTATTCGTTCCTGCTCTTGTGTCGAGACCCAGAGGATACCCACATGATCCAGCCAATGTTGAAAGACATCAGAGGCCGGCACGGAGGTGCCGAAGCCGTTGCACTAGCTGCAGTGGACTTCCCACGCGTGGACCCCGAGCAATTCTCGTTTATCAGTCACGCAGTTGTCTGTACCGGCGTCGGGATGGATGAGGAGGAGGCTCTGAAGACGCAAGAACGCATCCACAAGGTCCAACGACAGCTACGCGATAGGCACGAGACCCCGCGACAGAGAATGCTTCAGTTTGTATCGGATTTGTGGGTCAACTGCTCGCTGGCTGCCAAGATGAAGCTGTCCTTCTCTTCGCATGAACTCTTCGGTGTCAGTGCGCACCGTCCTCGTGCGCTCTTCACGTGTCCCGTGCCGATACGAGACTTCCGAGACGTGACGGCGTCCACGTCGGTGTACCGGCAAGTGGAGCAACTGGTGGTGACGGAGCTGCTGCGACTTGCCGGCGCTCGAGTGACGACCAAACTTAGTGCACAGAACACGCATCTGGTGTGTCGAAAAGGCTTCGGGATGAAGTTTGACAAGGCCAAGAAGTGGGGGCTTCAAGTGGTCAAAGCACGCTGGGTTGTCGACAGTCTACTGCAAGGCAGACGCCTTGGCGAGGACACTCCGGGCTTTGAAGTGGAAGACGAGAGTGAAGCCAGGAGGCCTGCGCGTACAGAGGAGGAGATGACACTGTCGCAGTCAGGCATTCCGAAATAATCATTGTATTGCTGCTTCAATACAATAGTTTACACTTAATTATTGATTTTTACAAATTGGATGACTTTGTCCAATTAGTTATTTTGTATTTACAGCAAAGTACTTTATTTTTTCGTAAAATCTAGTTTTTTCTGCTTTGTTTTGCGTAAATACGGAGCTCGGTCTCCAGACAGAATCGAATGGCTGTTAGCAACGGTCGCTCAAAACGCGAACCTGAGGCGCTCGTCTATCATTTTTGATCTCACCATGGCTCTCGCCAACACCTTCACGACCAAGCAAGTCTGCAGCTACTTTTTTACTGCCAGCTTGGCGACTTCCAGTCGGCCACCATGAAGCTTCAAGACGACAACGTAACGCTTCTCGATGTGCGCGATATCTTTGATGCGCTCATCGAGAAGCATTCCGTTGTGAAAAAGTATCTTGCTGCCGACGCAAATACGTGGACTTCGAGCGAGCGTGCGTTGTAGCCCTGTCAGGCGCCGTGGACGAGCTGACGAACGACCAGGAGCTGATGTTGCAGCCATTTGAGACGGTACCTGCAATTACGACACCGGACACCAGGCACGGACGCCCACAGGGCTTTGCCGACAGAGTCTTGGCGACTAGAAAAAAGCGGCGCTGTGCAAAGAAGATATTTGATGGTGTGCTTTTCATCCCGCCGACGTCAAACACCGTGGAGCGTCTTTTTAGTGTGGCGAAACATACTCTTTTCCACCATCGCCAGCGTATGCTGCCTATTCACCTTGAAACCGTGTTGTTCCTGAAGATGAATCGGCGTTTCTGGGACGCAAACACTGTAGCAGCTATCGTGAACGCAAAGTAATGTGCAGTGCCAAACATCTAAGTAGTTAATTTTCCAATACACTACTATTGATGTCAATTATTTATTTCTTAAGCTGTAGTTTTTGTAGCAATAGCTTATTTTGGCATGGACCTTCAATATGATTGCAATTGTATTATCGGAATGCCTGGTCGCAGTCCTAAGAGAGTGAAGTGAAGTTTTGTATTTAAGAGAAGAAAATTTAAGGTAGCAGATGGAAAATGTGTTGTCTAGACTGGAGTGATGACGGCGTGCATGGCGAAGTCTACGCTGGAACGTCGGGAGGTGCGTGTCTGCTTATACAGCAGAGCAGCGACGACGACTGCGACGGCACCGAAGGCGACGGTGACTGCGAGTGACGTAGTGCCGGTAGACTTTTCGTGAGGAGTGCTGGATGTGCTTGTTGATGTCGTTGCGAACGAAACGCCTTGGTTTTCCGGTGAGGTGGATGCGGACTGCGGTTGTGAGGGCGTGACGGTGGTGACTTCCGGAAGTGGTGTAGCTTCGGTTGGTATGTCGGCCTCCGACGGCGACGGGTACTGCTGAGTCGGCATTGATGTCGGTGACGGTGTGGTGCACGGCGTGGTCGGAGGTGGCGTCGCTGGCTCGGTGGTACTCGGACAGGGCGTCGCTGGTTCGGTCGTGCTCGGAGGTGGTGTTAGTGGCTCGGTCGTGCTTGGAGGTGGTGTTGTTGGGCAAGGCGTGGCAGGCTCTGTCGGATCTGAATACGGCGTCGTTGCAGGCGGAGTGGCCGGCTCGGTTGGGCAAGGTGTCGTCAGTTCAGGTGTTGCAGGCTCTGTAGTGCTCGGGCATGGTGTAATCGAAGTTGCCGGCGTGGGTTCTGGAGTAATTGGTTCCGTTGTAGGCGGGCACGGGGTGTACGGATTGGTCGGTTCTGGTGTCGTTGGGCACAGCGTGGTCGGCTCAGGTGTTGAAGGCGCCGGCGTCGGAGGAGGCGTTGTTGGCTCGGGCGTTGTCGGGGATGGCGTCGTAGGCTCTGTCGGATCTGGACACGGCGTCGTTGCTGGCGGAGTCGATGGATCGGCTGGACAAGGTGTCTTGGGTTCAGGTGTTGAAGGTGCCGGCGTCGGAGAAGGCGTTGTTGGCTCGGGCGTGGTGGGCTCTGGGGTTGGCGGTGCAGTAGTCTCTGGCACTGGAGCCTCTGTGGTTGGCTCTGGAGTGACGGGTGCTGTGGTCTGCGGTACAGGCGCTTGCGTCGTTGGAGCGGCCGTAGGTGCCGGCGTACTAGGTTCAGGTGTCGGAGTCGGCGCAACCGTTGCCGCTTCAGTCGGTGCCGCCGGGGGCTTCTCCCCGCAATCGAAGAGTTCTCTCACTGCCGACGTCTGCACGAACCAACTCTCGTCATAGTCCTCGTTTCCGTCGAATAAATAGCTACTGTCGATGTCTACGGCCTCGTCCTTCCCGTCCACGCTCCACGTCGGACACCCTGGTTCGGTAGGCGGATCGGTGCAGCCGATAGACGGCAGCACACAGCCCCACGTCGACCCGGAGACGATCCGGCACTCGGCATCTTCAGGCGCCACACAGCCTTCACCCACGGTAAAAGACGGCAGATACGCGCGACAGTCAGCGACGGCCGCGTCGCCTTTCAACGGGCAGGCAGTACCTGCCGGAGCGTCGGCACTGCCGGCACACACCACGCCGCGACTCGATGCCAAGTCATACGTGGCGTCGGCACACACGCTCACTTGTACAGCGTCGACGTAGTGTCGACCGACCAGCGGTAGAGATAACAGTAGCAATGACTTCATCTCGGAAGATTCTAGAGTGACTCTAACGCTGGTTCGGTGGAGAGAGTGGTGTACCCAACTGAGACCTTCCCGAGAAGAGACGGCGCACGTTAGTCACGCCGAACGGGGATGATTCCTGGAGGTGCAAGTGGCACCTTAACTGCGACTAAGTGGCAATTGGCCCTTGAGCGTTTCTTTTTTCTTTGTTTAAGAGCACTGGCAGCTTTACTCACGCGACTGTGGAGCAGGATTTCATGGCTCCCCATCATCCGTGGCAGGAAATCCTTCTACCTTCTTGGTGTGAACCTTCCGTCTCAGTAAGAATCCAATGCTCTCTCTTGGCCAAGTCACTTGTAAGTGTTCAGCATGAGAGTGATGTTCCATTGTTGAAGTAAAAGGTTGCTTGAATGTACAATCTCAGTTGGAGAGCATTTTTGCAGTTGGAGAGCATGGCTACAATATCTCTAACCGTCGTGTGCCAGGAATACTTTCAACCAATGTAACGGAAGCGACGACGTAGGTGCACCGTCAGTCTCGTGTCCTTCCTCAACTGCTCGTTGTAGTTTTCTTCGCTATGGCTCAACAAGGTGCAACGCTGCAGAACTACAACAATGAGCTGGTCAAATGTATCGAGGATCTGCGTGAGAAGCGGGAGGAGGTGAACCGTGCGATGCTCAAGGAGGAGGAAGAGAAGGCCAAGATCCAGAAAGACTTGACCATTCTCACCGACAGACTCAGCAAGATCAACGAAGCGCTCGCTAGGAAAACACAAGCTCGTAATGAATACGACCGTACCATCCAGGAGACAGAGGCTGCCTACATGAAGATCCTCGAGAGCTCGCAGACTTTACTGCACGTTCTTAAACGTGAGACGGTGCAGCTCACGAAGAAGAAGCAGACGTCGTCGTAGCTTTTGTGTTTCTAACGAAGAGCTGCTTAAACGTTGATATAAACAATATGCAAAACACCTCCTCTCTCTTTTGTTAACTTCGGTTCTTATCTGTGACGTAGTTCCTTGGCGGCCGTGTCCATAACCATTGCTTGACGACGGTCCTTACCGCGACGTTCACGACCGAAACACAGCGACACGTCTGCGTTGCCATCAGCTGCAGCATTACACAGCACGTCGAAGCACATTTCGATCTTCCGGAGTTGATGTAGAAGCAGGAAATGCTCGCTGCCCTTAGGGATCAACTCGTCGTAATAGGCGTTAACTTCGACTTCAACTTCCTGTTAAATAACAAACGTTAACCATATTTTCTAACACGTAGCTGATACAAACTGAAAAACGTACCTTGAGTTGGTTCTCGTAGACAGGAAGTTGATCCTTGTCCATCGCCTTACTGATCGTAGTCAATCGAGGTTGGAACAGGAAGCGTGGGGCACGTACAGGATACTCCGGTGAGATCTCGACAATAGCAGAGACCTTCGCGTGGCCGTTCTTAACGCCGACACGGAAGTAGCGACAGTCACTTGTAGACAGATGGAACTGCGCACGTGGACGAGTGGACAGCGTTGCACTCTCGTTGAAGAGATGGAACATATCTTGTGTCGGCGTCGGGACCTCCTTCCACTCCTCAAGATGCGACTTCACCTCGTGTGGGAAGAGGTGACGCGCCAATGGGTGCACGAAACTCACGCCTTCATCTTCCGGTCGTGACTTGGTTAGCTGATCCAGCTGTTTCTTCAGTACTACTGTAGCCACGAAACGGTTAACCAGTTGGTTCATAACGTTACGAACCGATGGCTCGGGTCGACGAGGCGTCTCGTCAATAGCGTCCACGTCTGGACGCTTCATGGGGTTTAGACCGCAGATCCACTGCGTCCAATAGTACGGACGACATGCAGCACTCGCTGGGAACTCCACCTCTGTCCGTTCGTCGCTGTCTTCTTGAAAAGTATAGTTAACAGCCACTTGAGGCACAGTGAGGCCATCGTCGCCTGGGAAAAGATTCGTCAACATGCAGCGTTGACTGCCGGGGTAAAAGCCAGCAGGAGCTGTCTTGACGACCTCCGCAGTGACCATTTTGGCTACAGGGAAGTACTGGAACATGACAGTGAACGACCCCGAGACCGTCTTGGTAGTCGTCCCGTTCTTATCGGTATCCATTGGAACTGTAACTGATATGGTTAACTGCAACGCCCTCGCATGGGGGTTCCATAATTTTTGAGAGGTCGCAGCTTCCGAGTTCTCGTCCTGGTCCTTGGTCTCTTCCTTGGTCTCTTCTTCATGAGGACGCAGCTGCAGTAGCTTCTCAGCTGTGTGTGCAGCCACGATCTCCCCACTCTCTGGCTCTTGAGATGACGAGTCCGCTACACGTTTGACGGACGGGGAGCGAGACGGCGCACGACTGTGAGGTGGCGTAGCTCCATTCAAACTTGCAGAAGGAGAGCGGGACGGAGCCTTCAGTCTCTTCGTTGACGCGTGTTCCTGTCGCTCTAAAGCTGTAGGAAAGCCACGCTTACGGTACGCGCCAGTGTGTTTAACACCGATCGAGTCCACGATCTCAAGCTGCAGTCGCTTGCCGGCATCCCCACTTGCCGTTTGATAGGCTTCCAGCTCGCAGTAGAGCGCATACAGTGGCGTCGACAGCTCTGTCCCCGCTGCGTGGTGTCGATTACGTTGCGCGGTGACGGGTTCTCCCATGTATTTCTGTAGTCCAGTGGTGGCAGCTTCAATACCCGCTAAATGGTCGGGTAGAGCGTTCAAGAAGGCCTGTTTGGTCTCTGTGGCGTCTTCTACCTTGGTAATTTTGAGCTTAAGCTCCTTTAGTTCCGTCTGGAGACTTTTACGAGCGTGTAGTTCTTGTGTGAGTTGGTCTAGATGCTGACGATGCACGTCCGGGTCCACTTTAATGGGGAGAGGGCCATCTGCGAACTCGATCTTGTCCATTTCCTTGGTACTGAAGCCTCTACAGCGTCGGATTTCACGCAACAGATGATCTTTCTCGTATAGTAAGTTCTGTAGCTGCAGCTGATGCGCTTCCGCCACGTCCTTCTGCTCCTGGACGCGTGTACGGCGAGCATCCGCCTCCAAAAAGGTGTCCCGCAGTCCGCTCTTCATAGCGCTCAGAAGGAGCAACACACGCCAGCGTCGCTGCTTCAGACGCCCCTCATCGGAGCTCCTTCCCCTTCGCTGTTCATACATTGCCGTCATCTCCTCTTTGAGCGCGGAGCACGTTGCTTGGAGCTGCTTCAGCGCGGCCCCATCCGTCTCCGCCATTGTAATTTTAGTTATGAGGGAGCGTACCCCTGGGTCTACTTCGTAACCAACTGTGTGTCGTACACAATATAACGAATGGCCTGACCGCCGAACATCAACTTTTTTTTATCGTCATGCTACGCCGCGCTCTTCGCTCTCGTGCTGCTTTCGTGCGTCCACAGGCGACGCGCGCCTTCGCGAAAAGGACGGACGCGTCCAAAAAGGATATGCGTCCCATTCACTTTGTGCACGACGAAGATGTATGTTGTCTACAGCTCTACAGAAGCGAATGCGTCGAGGAGCTCTTTTTAACGTTTAAATGGATTTATTACTGCTGTAGGACACTGCAGAGCGACCATTCCGCATTGTAGGTGTACGCGACCTTGAGGTGCAGGACTGGGAGTATCCTACGCGTGTGGAATCGGACCAGAAGAGCAAGAACCGCGTGTTGCGCAACCGGTTTAACCACCCCAACTTCATCAGTCTGTGGGTAGACAAGCTGGGCGAGGTGGAAGGCTACCTCAACGAGGAGAAGGTGCCGTACACGAGTGAGGGCGTTGTCAAGGGCCCCGAGGGCCACGACGTGCTGGTTATCCCGCCCACCGAGGACGACAGCATCGAGTTCTTCAACCTGTGCGACAACCCCACTATGGTCGAGTTGGTACAGGCTACTCCCGAGATCATCAAGGAGTTCGAGGAGGACAACGAAGAGGACGACGCGTAGACTACAGTACCAGGCTAGAACGGACAAGAGCTCAAGTCGCTGCTTTAATACATAGTATTTGGTTCGGTCTCTTTGATAAAAAAAAAGCTATGGCTAACACTGTCCTTCCTTGACTTCCAAAGCGAAGGTTGACAGCTTACAAATTGGAGTTCCCCTTTACTGTTTGAGCCACGGATGTTCCAATGCGTCAGCGGCAGTGCTTCGTTTCTCCGGGTTACGCACCAGTAGCGCCTCAATGAACCGCTTGAGGTCTTCGGACGCGCCACTCCACGTCTCGTCCGCGAAAAAGACCTTCTTGACGCCTTCAGCTGTCGGCAGGAACACGGGCGCACAGCCACTGGCCAGCACGTACGTCACGACGCCTACGCTCCACAAATCGGCCTCCGTGCCGTAGCCTTTGCCGCCCATAACCTCAGGCGCAATGTAGTCGCGTGTGCCACACTTGGTGTGAGCTCGCGCCATGCGGTTACGCACCATATCTGTGGCTGACGGCAAGCCCGTGGTGCTCGCAGCCGGCGCGTCGTGCAGGTTTGCCACCTCCGACAGACTTTCATGTGGTGTGAGTACATTATCGTGTCCGTGTCCGTCCAGTTTCCGGGCGATACCGAAGTCCGAGAGCTTAATATCACTCAAGTCTTGGCTGTTCTGGGGCAGTAGAATGTTCTCCGGTTTGATGTCGCGATGTACGATGCACTGTGCGTGCAAGTACGCGACTGTACGCACCAGTTTCCGGATTAACGGACGTGTAGTAGACTCGGGTAGAGGCCCGTTCCGGTCGATAAACTCGAACAGTTCTTGTCCGCACAGCTCCATAACCAGGAAGAGGCTCTCGTTGCTCTCGAATAGCTCCATCAGCCGCACGACGCCATCATGACGCAGCCCATACATAATCTCCAGCTCCCTCTTAAGGAACCGCACTTCGATCATCTGTCTCTTGTCGATGATCTTGACGGCAAACTGCTCGCCGGTCGCCTGTTTAATACACCGCTTCACCACCGAGTACTTGCCCGACCCTAATACGGCTCCAATTGTGTATTTCTCATGGAAATCACGCGCGACAGGCACGTTGTCCAGCAGATTCGCCACCGAGAAGAGCTGGCTGGGCGTCTGTGCATTCCTACTTGGGTCCAGGTCGTTCGACAGCGACAGCGACATCCGTGCCGACTGTCCGGATGGAGGTGTCACCTTCTCCTTAATAGACTGTAGGAAGATTGGCGGACTGGACAACGCGTTGTCGTCGAACAGGAGCGACGGACGGCCTCCGTCGGTCGACGTGTGGTCGTCCACGTTCATCATGGACGGACGTTGCGGTTCGGCCTGTACGAAGGAATTCTGTCCTCCTACGAGGAACGGATCGCTAAAGTCGTCGCCTGATGTGGGCACGGCGGGCGAGTGCATGTCCATGGAGGAGAAATCAATTGAGAGGTTGTCTAGCGCCGCATTTTTCCTCTTAGCAGCGGGACCGCGCAGTACCCGTCGCACTAGTGCTGGGTTCCGGTGTACGACGAACTGTTCCATGGCGTCAACGACCTGCTCGTCGCCCACAATAAGCATGTCTTCGATGAGTTCTCTCTCTTTAGGGGACACGTCCATCTTGGCCAGATCTGATGCGTATCGGTGCACTCGTTCGACGTTGTTGGTGACGGACTTGGCACGTCCCTTGCGTTTGAGTCCTAGAGGGGAGCTGGACGGACTCACGTCCACTACTGGGGAGTGTGTCGCGAGTACGGGGGTGATACATCCCTGTTCTACCAGAGTGCGTAGCTCCTCACATGGTTTATAGACCAGCACTTCGCCGTCCTGTAGATCGTTGAGACTGGTAACAGGCGTCTCTTCATTGCGACGACGAGCTAGCAGACTTGAATTGGCTGCGAACGCTGCAAAGCTCTTACCGAACGCTTGTTCGTGGAAGCGCACGATGAGCTCCTTGGGGGACAACAGAGAAGGCGTCATATCGATAGCGACGGTGCCCGACCGGTCCTTCATGCGGACGTAGACGGTCTGGAGACTGGGATGCACCTGGATGGAGAGCGACGGCGCGGGCATCATGGGCATTAGGAGGCGTATGGAGACGGAGAGCCTCTTGTGTACTCTGGCAGCTTTAAGAAGCTGTAGAGTAGAGCGCGTGTGGGCGCGGGTGTTCTCGGGTATGGCAAAAGCCGAACTGACCTGACCGTCACTTGCTGCATTTGGGCCGGCGACACGTTTCGCTTTCACTAGGGTTGAGTATGCCCGTGCCCAGACGCTATGCACAGAAAGCCCACCCCGGGACGCCAGACAGTGCCGCCGACCTTGAGCGAACGAAACCAACCCAACCCACGTGAGGGCAACAGCAGGACAGAAAGGAGGCGTTGCAGTGCCACCTGAACGCTGTGAACGGGCAGTATTATGGACGGCAATGCCGGCCCGGCATCAATATGGACGGAGCCAGTAAACGCGTGGTGGCACATGACTTTTGTATGCGAGCTTGGTTTCGTTCCTCATTCAGAAGCGCCCAAAGAAGGGCTTGAGCGAGGTAAAGCCTGCGCGGAAGAACACGCCCAGCTCAAAGTGCCGTGCATGGCAAAGCCGCTGGACATTGTCATTGACAATGTATGGGCCGACGCCGCGGAGTCGATTTTTCTTGGAGATTCAACATCTGGTACTCCGCGCAGCGAGCTGGAGAACCATACAGCGCCTGTCATACGTGTCCCAAAGCTGCTGTACAAGCAGAAACGAGATATTATTATCGGGCCGTAATAATGCCGAGGATACGGCCACATTGGGCGAGCAATCCGCTCCGAGAACAAAACATATATATGTATTCGCGTTGCCGTCGTTGTCTTTCAGTCCTGGGCAAAGCATAGTGAAAAGTTTGGTGTAGCTCGCTGATCGACAGGCGGGTTTGGCCTGAAAACAGGTGCGATAGCTGTAAACAGCTGGACGAAAAAGGCAACTTGCTGTTGTCGGCGCGTGTTCCTCGGCGTGAAGGCTGGATGGGAGCACCGAGAGAAGCTTTTGTCGTAGTAATCAACTCGGTGCAGGGGCATTTCGGGAAGGAGAGGCTCCACCGAGCTCACATGAGGGCTCACACAGCTTCCTATATCAGCTTTGCGCGTAAGCTTTTGAGGACCTGCTTGTAGCAAATAAAATGTGCATGTAGCACTGCTACATACACGTACAGCACGTGTATCAATAATTTTAACCTGATCTTGGACTCCCGTCGGGAAAACACGAAAATAGATTATGCTCGTCGACGCGTTGTTCCGTCGAGAATCCGTCAAGAATCCGTGTTGGTGCGGCAGCACCGCTTCCCAGTTTGGTTGGAAGTTTCCTCGTGGGACTCGTGTGCTCGATGGGGGCAGTCTGAAGCCTTGAGAATCGGAGGAAGTGTGCAAGAAATCACATTCCGCGACGGTCTGGAATCGTGGGGCCAGGGTCATATTATAGTCAATTAATTCAATGGAAGCAGGAGATTATCGGTTTGACCTCAAGCGGGTACTGAAGTAAGTTGTTGAAGTGGTCAGTTCGATGAAATTCATTTCAAAAAAAGGCCGAAGCCATGACGTCTACTGTATGGGTACAGGACACTTCACCACGAGCTTCTATGGTGACTATTCTGCACAGACCAATAGAGGCCCCACATGCTCGGATTTCATCTCCTACTGTCCATGTCACGCGATCCTAAACCGCGAGCGCCTATTCATATTAATAAGCTGCTGGCATCACATGATTGCGAGCTAAACATACGCGGGTTTGCTTGCCACTTTGGACCAGAACCGCTCAACGATGTCCGCCGCACCGTGCGTCCCGCACGGTCAGTTTTACTGAAGTACTACATGTACCATTAATTAAACTGTACTGGCTCACGCGAACACGCCGCGAAAGCATGAGGTGCCCGGGTACCACGGCAGTCTACTGTAAGAAAGACGGCATAACATTTACTACTAGTGCAACTCGTACTACTACTAGTACGTACTACTATTACTACTAGTAGTAGTAACAGCACCAAAGATTAATGATGGCAATGAAACACTCTTACAGGTAAAGTGTCTGCCTATGACACAGATTATGAAGGTTCTCAGCTACTACAGCTAGTGGAAGTTTTCGTCTTCATCCCAGCATCTACTACGTACAACTTGACTCCCATGTATAGCCCGAGTCGACTTGCCTCAGTAGATATTTACTAGTAGTAGTAATTCCTTTAATTATACAAGCAATACTTTTTGATAAAGCATGTGGGCTGTAATTGGCTCCTTGCAACACGATGGTAGTTTGCGAAGGGTTCCTATCATGAACAACCGCTTGTTATGTGCAGCCAATAGCAGTATGGTTGGCCATAGGGGAGGACGCAACAACTGTGGCAGATTTGAATGCACGTGGAGGTAGAAAAGCTCAGAAACAAACGACAAAAACAACTTACTCAGGGAGAAGCGCAAGGTTGGTCGGAAGGATCAGGCCAGCGTACTGGACTTGGGTATGCTGTCGATCATTAGATATCAGCCCCTCAGGATAGACATCAGCTCCTTCTTTAGGTTATAAGAAAACGCGCCGCAGACCACTTCACTCTCAACGGTCCACTTCAGGAATGAGCGTCTGAATCCTCGTGCGCAAGTGCACTGCTCACCAGCCAATCATTATTATCCCATTGAATGGCATACCGACACTTTTACAATTCATATCGGTTTATCGGAGCATATTGGAAGCGGCGGTGATTTGTTGCTCGATTCAGTGACATGTCACTGCCTGCTTCAAACAGGATGGCCGGAACGGCGTTGGCGCTGTGGCAAGCCCGCGCCTCGGTCGTGCTGCCCTCCGGCTGTGACTCCATCGATGAACTACTGCACGGTGGCTTCCGCTCCGGTATATTGACTGAAATATGCGGCGAAGCTTCCGCGGGCAAGACGCAGCTGTGTCTACAGCTGCTGCTACAGTGCTGTCTGCCACGCTCGCTCGGTGGGCTGCAAGGCACGGCCTGCTACATCTGCACGGAGGGCGTGGGCTCGGTGAAACGCCTTCATGATCTGGCGCAGGTGTATGCAAAGCGATACGGCGGGGTCATGGGCATCGGTGCCAAGCGGAAGCGAGGCGAAGCGGTTCCCAAATTAAGCGGCAGCGACTTCCTAGACGGTATCTTCGTCGAGCAGCTCTACACAGTCGATGACCTCATGGACCTAGTGGTCTGCATTGCAGTAGCAATATAACAATACGCATCCAAGCTAACGTTCTGGGTGCGCCATATTGCTGTAGCAAGCGAGACTCCCCATGCTTCTGGCCGAACAGAACACCAAGCTGGTGGTTCTGGACTCGGTTGCAGCCGTCTTCCGTCTAGAATCCACGTCCTCTGTTAAGGTTGTCATGTTATAATAACTTTTCTAGTCAAATCAGCACAGCTAAACGATGGTGTTACGTGACACAGGAGGCCGCAGAGCGCTCTCGCACCATGTTCCACATGGCCAATTGCATGCGCATCCTGAGCGACCAATACGGCGTCGTGTTCGTGGTGACCAACCAAGTGACTGGCGATTTCGACCCTCGATCGAATGGGAACGGGCTGAGACCAGCTCTGGGGCTGTCGTGGTCGCACTGCATCAACCAACGGTACGTTGCTCATTTTCTGAGACCGTTGAACGTCGGACTGATGCAACTGCAATTTGTTCATCGGCTTTCCATCATCTCAGCCTCATGATCACGCGGCATAAGGACTCAACGCGTCGGCGACTGGACGTGGCCTTCTCTCCGCATTTGCCAGCTGAGACCTGTGCGTTCCAAGTCACGAATGAAGGTGTGCGACCGTCGGACGGAGACTGAGTCAGACGTTGCAGTGTCTTATCAACCAATGAAACACCTTTAAACAGAATTTTCTTATAGGCAGAAAAGATCGCTGAACAGGCATGATTGACAAGATCGCGCAGCCTTCAAGTTGGTTATCAGGCGCGTTTCTGCGCATTTCACTTGGTCTCAGTAAGTCGCTCCGTCTGCGACCGACTGTCCGTTATTTTTCGAGCGAAACCCCTCGGCTTCCGAATTGCCATCATGGCAACTTTGACCGCCCCACAAAAGATTTATCCTCTCAACCGCCATTGGACTCTCGCCTAGAGCTGCAGAGTAGCCCCCCCAGTTTTAAGCTTAGTAGCACACAATACACTACAATGGTCGCCTCCAAGCAAACTCGCCACGGATCTTCAATCCCCAGCAGCAACAACGCGTGTGAGATCCGCAGTGGGATGTCTGTACAGGTAGGTCCGTTCAGGCAACTTAACCACACGAAATATCAATATCGATAGCTAACAGTTATTTGGTAATTGGCAGGATTTAAAACATTTGACGGCGCAGCGACAACGTCTCGAGTTCTGGGCTCGCAACTCGCCGCGGCAGATGGCGACAGACTTTACGTACGCGTCCTCGCCGTCATCCACAAGCTCATCGCTGTCTGCGTCCCCACCAGCTAAGTTTAATGACGGCGCGTGTTATTTCACTGCGTATGGCTACGTGCCTCCACCGAGTCGACGGGGCTTCGCATCCGACAAGATGTTCGTAACTTGTGGAGGTCAGGTGGTGTCCTTCATGGATGGAGTCGTGAACGCTCCACAAGGAGATTTCCAATTGGACAATTAGCTCTCGGAGGAGAGAAGACAACAGAGACAGTCTGTATAAAATAGGATGGATGTGCATGGAGTATTAGTTTAAGGAATGAAATAATGCTGAAAGTCTGTGAAATCTAATACAGATTTGTTAGCGAGTGTATGGGTGGATGGACACGGATGGGTGTGTTTGCCACTGATGTTGCTTCTCGGGGATCGTCGGAAGATAATGCTCCACTCGGCCGCCGTTCACAATGTCAAAGGAGCGTCCTGCGGTGCTTTGATTGCGTAAGTTTTGGGCTCTGTCAACATGACAAGCAGTTAAAAAGAATCAAGCAGAATTAATATAATGAAAGACAAGAAACTAACCTCTGCTGGTTCCAGTCAAGTGGTGTTTCGGTAAAGAGCCTGTCGTGGTGCTGTAACCGAGGATTTGCCTTGCAGTTTTTGCTCTGGTACTCGCGACCTGAAGCTCCTGTTGCATTGTGACTGCGACGATAACGGATTGTTAATAATGAGATCAATATTTCATGTTATCGAGCGATGTGTCACCTTAATAAATCGGATTTGTAGGTTTCTCCACGAAGTCTTGTTGCTTCAGGAGTACCATGTTGTGTGCCTATCACATCACACGTCGAGTGTCGCTCCTTACTGCAAGACACACACCAGTTATTCAGCATAAAATACCCATTAGTTTTTATCTTGACGGATAAACGTACATGATCTGGTGAAGTCTGCGAGCGTTCATATCAGCGCGATGCATGGCACGCTTGGCATGAAGATGGTCCGTCTCATAATGCAGTCGCTCTCGTCGTTGTTGTGGAGTCATGATACCTTCTTTGAGCATCACCGATCCAGGAACAGCACGGTGTTCAATCTCTGCAGCATGAGCTAATGTTTCTTTCTTGAGCATCAACGGCGCTGATAACCGATGCTGAAGTTGCTCGTCCTTCGGTCTATATTCACGACATCAGTCGGTTAGAAGAGCCACCATAAAGAAGAATCAATCCTTGATAGAGGTGCCTTACAGAACGGCGACATCGTTGATCTGCAAGCCGCTGGGTACCAATGCGACGGGTTTTCCTTCGCCTATTGCACAAGAGCGGAGGTCTCTTGAAGGAATGATATGTGCTGATGGTGCGAACTTCTCGAAGGCTCGGACGTCGCACTGCTCTCCATTCCAGGAAGTGATCTGCGTTTGGCGCTTTACAATCGCCATTGGGACGTTCCGGGAGGCATTCGCAACGCTAGGTGAGTCGATGAACTTGCGAAGTCGGTCTGGATTCATAGCCTTGCGGGGCTTCGATTCGATAGCATCGGTGGTCATTGTCTAGACTTTCGACACCTCGACTCAAAATAGCATAGTCCAGATTGTTTTTCCGATCTCCCAAAATTAGCACCTCTAGTTTTTTTATTTAGTTGCAAAAATATGAGCAAACCTGGTTCGACGTCGTTTCGTGGTTTGAACACGTTTCGTTCTAAAACTTTAAACCAAGAATGCGTTTTCTTCAAACCACCACTTAGTTTGAACCAAAAAGGAGAACCGCATAGCGAGCGGCTTTTGCATGGGGTTATTGAGATCGGCTTGTACACCCTCGGAGCGGCACGTGCTGCTAATGGAGCTGTGTAACGAGGCAGTGTACCCTGGTTACATGAAGTGTGACACTTCACACTTCAGGAGTATGACACGTCATACTCCGAGATATTTGGTACAAGGTACCAAGGTCGTTCAAAGCCAACCATTGGTTAAATGACATTGCATTTCTATAGGTAGCTAACAGTTTGTATTAAACCCAAACTTTTAATCTACCTATAAATATACTCAGTTTACAATCTACCTTATTTGGGTCACTTCGCTCTCTTTAATAAAAGAGGGGACCTGTGAACTGCCGTTCACTGAGAGTTTGTATACTCTCGGAAGATAACTTCCTCTTGCGCAAGGTGCTGTGTGACCCCGTCACACTTGGTAGCACTTGTAGTCAATCCACGCCATCGCGGGTAGACTACCTGAACCTCCGAAGTTCGTTGCCATGGATAGGAGCGACTTCTCCCATTTGAACGACTCTCAGTTCGAGTCGGTTCTAAAGATGGCAGGCATCTTCGAGATGGAGGCCCTGCAGAGCCTGGTGGTGTCAACACCGGCTGAGCAGCTCGAGCGCGTCAATGCATTCGACGCGTACGAGCAGGGCCTCATCGCGCATGTGCGGGAGAACCTGCAGGCTCCGGCGGCGGAAGCAAATCCGCCTCACCCGAAGCCAATACGGCTGAAGGTAAAGCCGTATGAAGGGAAGGAAGGCGAGAACCTTCACTTCTGGGTCCGAGAAGTAGAGCTCGCGATGGACGCGGCTCTGATCTCGACCGAGCAACTGCGTGTTGCTTTTGCACTCTCCAACCTTAGCGGTCGTGCTAAGAGTTGGGTGTACACTCGGGAAGCAACATCCCCTGGATGTTTCACATTCTGGGCTCAGCTGTGCGAACAGCTCCGAGCCGCGTTCCTCCCGGCGAACTACGAGTACCGCCAGCGTTCGCGCTTCCTCGCGTGTAAACAAGGAAGGCGCGAGCTGCACGAGTATGTGCAAGAGATACGGGAGCTCACGGCGTCCCTAGTGGGAGACCCACTCAATGAACACATCAAGATGACTGTGCTCATGGACGGCCTTCGAGTGGGCCCCGCACGCACTCAGCTGTTCCGGGTACAGGCAAGCACCCTTGAAGAGGCGATTCAAGTGGCTCTTCAAGAAGAGTACAGCCATCGCCAGGCGCGTACGCCGGCCTCAGCGTGGCCTGGGAGCTCCTTGTCGGCTTCCGGTCGAACAAGCCCCAACGGACCAGTTCCCATGGAACTCGGGTCCGCCGAACAGCGTGACATCCGCTGCTTCGGCTGTGGGAAGATGGGCCACTTCAAGCGCGACTGTCCCGCGGAAAGACTCCGCAGACGGTCCTTCCCCAAGCCCGTCCTCAAGGGTCGCTGGCAGAAGCCAGGATCCCGGGGACAGGGGAACGCAGGGAACCAGTAGGGGCGGGGCGCCCTACTGGGGAATAACTAAGTCTTCGTGATGGGTGCGCGGGTGGCGCGTACCACGGGGACTTAGCCCCTGAGAGTCTTCGCCCTCTCGAATCGGCGAAGAGCAGCGGCGGGTTGCTCGTAGTACACGGATATGTACGGGGATACGATCATCCCTTTAGAATCTTGATTGACTCTGGGGCGTCGAAGAATTTCGCACGCCGCCAGACGGTTGCTCGTAACAGCAACAAGTTGTCCGAAGCTTTGAGAGAAAGCAAGGGAAACGGGACGGTGTCAGTGCGACTGGCCGACGGGAAGGTCGTCACTGTCCCCAACGTCCAAGTGGATCTGGCTGTCAAGATTGAAGACTTTGACAGCCTCGAACAGTTCACTGTTCTCGATATGGATCCATATGATATGATCCTGGGCATGCCCTGGCTTGAGAAGCACGAGCCCTGGATCGACTGGCGAGGCAAGGCAATCGGTGCCAGCCGCCCTGCGCAGTCCGACAGAGCATTGTAAGTCATGTTCCCACCTCTGTCAGGACCCGGGGCACCCGCGAGGGCTGCCAGGGTACCAAAGCATCCGGCAGATGCTTGAGAGTCGTCGACGTATATGACGACTCCCAGGATGTTTTGATGGTGGCCGCGCCCAGAAGAGGCGCTGGCCAAGTGGGTAACTTAGGTCCACAGGCGGGTAACTTAGTTCCGCAGACAGCTGCAGCTGTCATGAACACTGATAACAGCGTGTTCAGAGTGGGTAACAGAGTTCCACTCACGGTCGCCCAGACCTTAACTGAAGAGGAAGACGTCGGATACGCTTCCTGTGTGGGTAACACAGTGCCACACGCGGTCGCCCAGACCTTAACTGAAGAGGAAGGCGTTGAACACGCTTCCTGTGTGGGTAACACAGTGCCACACGCGGTCGCCCAGACCTTAACTGAAGAGGAAGGCGTTGAACACGCTTCCTGTGTGGGTACGACAGTATCACACGAGGCCACGAGTGCCTCGGATGTCGTAGCGACGACATCCCTAGACGTGGGCAGCAAAGCTCCCCGTCACAGACGCCGTCGGCAAAGACACCGCCGCCGCCTCAAGTCAGATCCGAACTTCGTTCCGATCGACGTCGCTTCAAGCGACTCGGGGTCCAGGGCCCGGGCTCCTCCGACAAGGCCGGTGGAAGAGTGTTATCACATCTTCGATGGCGAGACAGGTTTACCCGTCAAGGCATCTGGTGTCCACTTGGAACCGCTGCCAGAGGTTGCGGAGATACTGAATCTCGAGGAAATGACGGATGAGCCTTCCTGGCCAGCCTCAAGGCTGGAGAGATTGCTGAGATGGTACTCATGAGACCTGAGACCACTCAGGAGGAGCTGAACTCCTCCTCTGTCTTGGACGAGAACGTACTGGAAGACATGAACAGGCAGCGTCAGGCGCGCTTGGGTTCTGAGATTCTCAAGAACCCCAAGGATCCGGTGTATCCTTTGGTGACGGAGTATGCGGACGTGGTGAAGCAACACCCACCGACCCAACTCCCACCGGATCGAGGCGTACGGCACGAGATTGATCTCGTGCCCGGCACAAAGTATTGTGTCACGAGGCAATGGCCTCTCCCGCGCGAACAGTGCGAGGTCATTAATGCCTTCTTCGCCGCGAAAGCGAAGGCAGGCATGGTGCGGGAATCGAAATCCCCGCACTCGACGCCGACTTTCTGCGTTCGGAAGCCGAACGGAAAGTGGCGTCTGGTTCACGCTTATAACAAGCTGAACAACGCAACGGTGCCGGCCCAAACACCGATCCCACGAAAGGATGTGTTGTTGAACAGCATGGCCGGGTACAGTGCGCTGGATTTGGTAGACAGATACTACCAAATCCTGATGCGAGAGAGTGACATCCCGCTCACCGCGGTAAGCACTCCAAGCGGCATGCTTTGGGAGTGGCTCGTCATGCCGCAGGGCTTGTCTAACGCCCCGGCGACGTTCAATCGCCTGGTGACGCAATTGTTCCGCCCTTTGCGTACCTTCGTACAGACGTACTTTGACGACATTTTCGTCCATAGCCGTGCCGAGGGAGGCAAGACGGCCATGGAGGTGCATCTAGGACACCTCCGTCGAGTGTTGGACGTGATGCGAGCGAACAAGCTCTACGCCAACATCGACAAGTGCGTTTTCGCGTCACCAGAGATTAAAGTTCTCGGTTGCTTCGTCAGCAACGTGGGCGTTCGGGCTGACCCAGACAAGGTCAAGGCCGTAGCAGCATGGCCGACGCCCCGATCTCAGAAGGATCTTCGAAAGTGGTTGGGCTTGGCCAACTACCTTCACAAGTACAGCGCTGAGTACGCGGGCTTCGCTAAGCCCTTGTCGAGCCTCCTTCAGAAGGACGTCGACTGGCGCTGGGAGCAAGAGCACCAGGATGCTTTTGACAGCATCAAGGCCAGTCTCCAAGAGGCCCCTGTCCTGGCCCTGCCGGACGAGACGAAGCCGTTTAGCGTCGTCTGCGATGCCTCCGATTACGTCATCGGGTGTGCATTGCTGCAGGACGACACGGCTGGACGGGAACGAGTCATCTCGTTCCAGTCCCGGCAGCTCAAAGCCGCCGAGCGGAACTACCCTCCATGACAAGGAGCTCCTGGCAATGAAATATGCCCTTGTGAAGTTCCGTATTCACCTTCTGGGCTCTAGGCCCTTTGTGATCTACACAGACCACGCGTCCTTGAGGACGGCGACTAACTCGTCTCACCTCTCTTAAAGGATGGCGAGGTGGCTGTCCTTCTTCGCGGAATGCAACTTCCGCGTCGAATACAAGCCGGGCAAGCTCAACGTGCTTGCGGACGCCCTCTCTCGGCGTCCCGACTATGAGTTGGCCCACATCACGCGGGTGACAACGGATCTATATGATCGGATACGCATGGCGTATCGGGACGATGAGGCTGTCGCGCCTATCGTTAAGTTCCTTAAGGCCGGAACGAGCGCGAAGTCCGACTGGCTCTCGTCGCGACAGCGCTCACGGCTCCACCGATATGAGTTGAAGGAGGGCCTCCTCTATTATCGGGTGGAGCCCACTGATCCTCCACGGGTGGTCGTACCCAACGACGAGGATCTGAAGTTCGACATCCTCGCGGAGGCGCATGACGCGCCCTCCAGCGGCCACTTGGGCCGCGAGAAGACCTTTATGTCGGTCTCTCAGTCCTTCTGGTGGACCCACATGTACAAGTGGGTCGCCCGATACGTCAAGACATGCGAAACATGTCAGCGGGTCAAACCCGCAGGGCACTCTTCGGCTCCACTACAGAGCCTGCCCGTACCGGCTGATTGTTGGAAGTCG